AAGGCGTGAACTTCATTTTCTGCAAAATTACTTGTACAGCTTTAGACTGTTAGACAAGAAGAGAGAAATAGCTTCTGGTGCCACTGGTTATTCTCTCGTATTTTTCGTGTGAAAGAGGTACTTTCAACTGTGTGTAAATAAGAAACCAGCTGAATTTAAATCCATTTTATGTGTACATAGCTTATACCGGCCTGGTTGAAGATGGAACCAGAATAACCGCGAAGCAATCGTTTTCCAACATTTTCAGGAAAAAAGGAGGATATTCAATGCGCTGATTTTTGCATACAAATTGGTTTGCGTATGTTCTTGAAATTTGAAGACATTGCTTAATTTTTGAAAATACTTTCTTTTGTCGGGAAGGTGGGGCTGTAGTCACTCAAAGTGAAGTAGTTTTACAATAAAATTGAAACCAAGAAGGATTCAATGTCCAGTTGATGTGAAATTCTGTGGGCATAGCCCTAACCTCCAGTAGGTGGCTGTTAGTAGTCATTTGGTAAGGTGCCCGTGCGAGTCAGAGCATTGTTGCATAGTCAACCGCACCAGGGTGGTGAGAGGTTGAAACGTGCTGACCCTTTTCTACTTCACCCAAATGGGTACGCTGGGCCCAAACACCTTGACTGCTTAAGCACATTAGTTCGACAGAATTATTCACTGAGCTTGCTTCTTTCCTGAAAAACATTTTTGATTTATTTATAAATGAAATTGCTCTTCTATAGCCTGTTATGACGTAAATTTGATACCTACTGGATCAGGAAATCTCCCTGTCTAATTTCCTTACAATTGTAGATGAAAAAAAATTGAAAAGCAAACGAACATACGCAAAGCATATTTAGTGAAGTAAACTAGTCAAACCGCTTTTATCTCAGGAAACCTGATAAATTAAGAGTAGAAAAATCTTCACCCATTCCTAATTTGAATCACCTCGTGAAATTCTGCTCCTTCGTGGTGGAGAAGAAACAGGACACGTCACAATAGAACATCGCAATAACAACCTATTGCTTTTACTGGTTTCCTTGTTCTTTTGGGTTTTTTTTCTTTTTGTTATCTATTGTTTTACGTCATCAGTGTCTTCTACACTAAGTAAGAACCTGATATCTAAGGGCCTCACCACACAATCCATGACTTGGGGCACTGACAGGAGGACACCCTAACATCAGAATTTATATTCTCCATAATGTTCACTATTTATTTCCTGAGGTACTGATAAGGAGAATTTGTTTAACAATCAAGAGCTTCCTTAGTGATCATTTCCTTTATTCTATGTTAAGGGGTAAATTTTTAACTCTTTAATCCGCAAGAGTTACCATCTTCCAATTTCTCCTTACAATATCACCCCTGAATCAAACGTAAAGGTTTCGAGAATTAAGGAAATGATCACCAACTAATAAAGCTCTTGATTTTAAAACAAATACTCCATGTCAGCGCTTCAGGAAACGTATAGAGAACAGTATGGACAATATGCATACTGATGTTTGGGTGTAAAGGATTGAGGAGAAATTACATTCCAATCGTTCTCAGGGGCTAAGGGTATTTAACTCTGTAATTGCTGCTTGCCCAAAACATGTCAGTTTGGTTTTCAACGTTTATAAAATGCATTACAGAGGTTTGCATATCCCCTGTTATAGACCAACATATTTAGCTTTCCAAACGACCTAATTCAAAGCTACTTGGGAGCCTCGCTAGTCCAAGATTTTCCCTCTATTTCCATCTCTAATACTGAGGAGGAATATTATCAGATATGTAAAAAGGAGGGCGTGGCTTCTAAAGTATCGCCAGGTTTTACTAAAGCTAAAATTTTTTAAAGCTGTGCTGTTGCTACTGCATGTGAAATGAGCTTAAAATGTTTGAAAGAAAGTGACTACATAGACGTACTAGCAAGTTGGAATGGCCGTGAGAAGAAAATACACGAAATCAAAGTGCTCTGTGAGCAAACTCGTGAATTGACAGATGACTTACATGATTTTTGGATTATGTTTAATGTTATCTGGTTTAAGGAATTTTGTGGCTGATTGTCATGTTTAGAGTAAGAGCAGTAGTTCAGTGTTTGCTAATGTAGCAAAGAAACAAAGTAACGTTGGGATAAGAAGGCATTACAATTGAAATGATCCATGCTATGACATTTGACAAGGGTGAATGATGTCATGTGTTTTAAATATATATCATTTTTGTT